CAATTGCAACAGAACATAAGATTTCATATCAATAGTTTATTTAAGATGACTGACTAAAGCCTATCCCGAAGATACACATTCAGAAAAACATCTCATTTAGCTGGATTATTCCCTGCTATATATTTGAGCATTGGAATCTAAAGCTGTTTACTTTTTTTTTAAAGAAGACTATCACAAAGTTTTTCATTCAAAACTGTAACTGATTAGATCTGCAGTTTCATACTAAGGATGACATTTAGTGAATATAAATTTATATTTGCAGAAAGTTCTGTTCTTTTGTGGTCTTGATATTATATTTAATTTTTACACAAGTTTTGGGTAGATAATTTGATAGTTATATAAATGTATTAGAAATATTTATATACTTGAATAATAATTTCATTAGATTACTAAATAGAATTGTAACTACAGCTATAAAATGATATGGCTCTTATTCTTTCACATTTTTTCATATAGTTTTTTTTTAAAGATTTGGGTTTGATATCTTCAGATTTTGGAGAAATTGATCATAAACACTATTTATTTAAAAATATGGCATATTTTTTCTTGAATCAATATCAGAAATAGATATAAATAAGCATACTTTCTGATTTTACCTGTGGCTTTTTGATATCATTTCTCCAAAATATGTTTGCCTTTGGGGCATTATGGCAGTATCATTGTTGGCTCTTAGAGAAGTTAATTGCAGAAGTGGTTTCATGTTAGCTTTTGAAATTTTTTCATAGTTGTTAGCATATGAAATTTTTCGCATAGTTGTTAGCATATGAAATTTTGATTAGACCAAAGAGCTGATTTCCAGTTCCTGGAAATTAGAGATCTACACAAAATTAAAATAGATTTTGGTGAAGCATTGTTTTGATTATATTGTTTCAAACAAAAACAAAATCTAGAGCTGTGTTTCTCAACTATGGCAATTCGAAGACATGTGGATCTTAATTCCCACTATGGAGAATTCTGGGACATGAAGTCTACACCTTTTAAACTTTAGATTGTAGAGAACACTGATCTAGAGGAGTCCTAGTGTGTTTGTACTGAGCATAGAGGGCAAAGGTGGTGTAAGGTAACCCCTCTTTTCTCTCCAACACTGACCTTGATGCCTTCTACTCTGTCTTCTCTCTTCCATCTGTAATGATGACCCAGCAAGAAATCCCATCAGCTGACTGTCTCTGATCTTTCCTTACCCACTCTTATTAGTCAACTTCAATGTACTGACTTGTGTGCCTGTTCCTTAGAGCAGTGTCTCCATAATAAAAAATGGCTTCCAGGTACTGATGCACATGCCATCAGAAGGAAATCCCTTAGCACTGATTCTCCTCAACCCTTTAGGCTCCACATTTTTTATAGAGCAATCACATTTCAATCCATATCTAGAAAAAGAAACCAATTACACAAACCAAAACATCCCACATCCATGTTTTAGTTCTGGTACAAGCACTCAAAATAGCTATATTGCACGTTGAATGGTATGACATTTCTTTACTTTCACTGTGGTATTTTAGCAATCAATTGTGCCATCTGTTATGCCCTGGATTTGTCCCAGAACTCTGCCACTTTTAAGATGAACTTTGAAAACATGCAACAGCAGGATTTCCTGTTCCACTTTCAGAATGATGGTGTCACACATGGGAAAAATCATCCTTTTTGTAAGGGAGTCTGTGAAATTGTGCCTACTTACCTAAATAGCAGCCAAGGATCGGTACTTGATTAAACTAAAGCTTTTTCTCATCATTGACTTCCACTTTCTTCTAAATACTTTCTCATTTCTGGAACTTTCCAATACAAATCCTTCTGCATTTTCTCTTATCAGAAAAGCTGACACTAATCATTGTTTGGTGACGGCACATTTAATGACTCTTCTAGTAGAATCTGTATTCCTAAACTTCCATTATTCCATATTCTGGCATATAGAATGAGAATAAATGTATCATTACTTTTGTCAGCTTTGGAAACCATATTAAACCCAGAAACTTTCATGCTGTCACATTCCTGTGCCTGGATATTAGGAGGGTGGGGTTAGAGTGTTAGTAGTTAGACATAATAGCATTCTTCATTTCAGTCAAGGTCATGTTCTTCCTACACCTGGAGGAGGAAGGGTTGAAGGGATGTCTCAAGTTGGAAGATCTGGTGATTGGACCATGTGATGGACTGATGGGTGCAGGGGTTGGGTTTTGATTTTTGATTTACTGAGGGAAAACCCTGAACTCTCACATTCGGATTTTCCCAGGTATGCCAGTATGACTTTTCCAATAAAAAGAAACTTTGAGACAGGCATTTTCTAAAGTGGCAGCCGCGGTATTATGTAAAGAGAAGAAAGATGGGGGAGATTATGTGTAGATGCCAGTGGCGTGGCTACTTTCTTTGTAAGATGCTTGCTTAAGTCTTTCCCCCACTCCATACTGTAAGACTGTACATTCCTAGTTCTCTTAATCTTTTCTTGTAAGGTCAGTGATTGGTGACCCTGATATTGAATCTCATATCTTTAGAAACAACTGACAGCATAAAAAATTGAAACAGTGCCTGAACTGCCTTTAAATCATGCATTATTCAAATAGTGCTGTCATGACAACCCTGGAAAAGGTACAGTAATGTTTTATTGGAACAGTTTTTCTAATGTGTATGTATCCCATTGAGCTGCACAATTAACAATTCATTTTGAATTTCTCAGAAAACACAATGCTGTTGGATGTTAGTGTACCTTAAAAGACAGTGAGATGTTTATTTCAAAGTAAATATTTTGAACATTTTGAATATACAGTACAACATGTTCAAATATACTTTTAAAAACATATACACATGGACTCTAAATTCTCCAAATACTACTTAAATTGTGTTGAGGCATTCAGATTTTGGACTTCTTTTATTGGGAACTAAAAGATGACAGTGCATTTAAAAGGCTTTTCAGATGCTGCTGGCTTGTTCTCAAGAAGAACTTGTAACCAGAAGTGAAGATATGTTTGGTGGCTAGCAATAAAGTGCTGGAAAGTGACATCTCCCTGGGTCAGACACATATCTGAAAAAAGTTTTTAGGCATTTGAAGCTGGTGCTGCTAAATGCAAATCCAGCCTTTACTAAAAATTATTACCCTTCAGGTTTATGCTATATAGGCAGCATTTAGAAACTTAGCATCTTTTCTGCCTGGCCATTGTAAAAAGTTGCTTATGCTGAGTCATGAGTCTATAAATTTTGTATTGTTTGTACAAAAAGCAGTTGTTAAACTCTGAGGAAGGGCTAGTCTCCTTACAAAGGCACCAACTGCTCAAAATGGTTATTCCCTTAGTTCCCAGTCTTTAAACCTGCCAGAGACTGCTACCTTAAAGTCTCTTCATGAGGAATAACCATCTGGAGCACTTGTGGGTGCTCTCTCCTTGTCCAGAAAGGAATTATTGAGGAACTGGTTTTCTTGCCAGATGTTCATTGCCCCACAGTAATCAGTTCCACTTTCATGGAATTGTCTTCAGTCTGCCATTTCTTCCCTGGAAGACCTAACATGGAATCTATAAGATTCACCCCAAAATATTTAGAAAGCATAATTTATCAGGCAGCTCTGAGGTAGTGCCCTCCACTAAATAGCCATATTATCTCAGGATTGTGGGAGATGAATTTCAGAGTTATTGGGGACACAGGCTACATAAGGCTGCAATATATGTGCTACTTTACATTGATTGTAAATATTCATATTTTCATATCAATATTTTGTGTTCAGGAAGTACTGTATGCTGAAGAATAATACTTTCATTTATAGTATGTAGTATTGAATATTTGAAAGTCTGCTTAATTTTAAAGGTTTTTTTTTTAAAAAAATCCCCTTGACTTTAATGGTCACCTAAAAAGCTTACAGTGACAGAGAAAGAATTAAGAATAGATTTCCCTTGGTTTTCTTTTAGTGTTTGAATCCAAGGCATTCAAAAGGGGCTGAAATTTGCCCTCATTTCCAAAAGTTAGTTTTGAACATAAACACATTCATGCTGTGCTTGTTTTTGAACATAAATACAATCATGCTGTGCTGGTAATGAAGGCATTTAGTCCTTGGGAAGACACTTCTCTGGTATACAAGCGCTTGCTCTCAGCTTGATGAACTTTTAGGGATGGTGATGGGAGGTGAATGGTTCCCCCCACCCTCAAATTTTACAATATTTGTAATTCTTCCTGTTAATTGGCTTTTAAGGAGGTTCTCATAGCCAGTTCAGTGGCTTGGATCCAGAAATGGGCATTTGTAGTTTCTTTGTCTTCCAGAAGTGTTTCCAGATTACTCCCTGCACAAGTTAATAAAAAGAGATTCAGGTCGTTTCCATTCCCAGAATAAGTGAACCCTGTGAATCAGGATTGTGAGAATCACCTGGAGTCATAACAAATAGTTTGACAAGTTTAATAATTGCAGCACATTCAGGCCAGGAACAGAGTTTTCAGTGTTCTATTTAAAATGGAACCAATCTGGCTAAATTCTTGCTAAAGGCTCATGTAAACAAATTAAGCAATAAGCAGTACAAGAGTTTCTGTTGCAGCTCAGCTCTTGCATTTCATTCAACTGACCACTCACTGGATTATCTTTTTGATTTTTTAAAAAGTTTATTAAATATTTAATTAATATTAATAATATTCCTTTTATTTTCTTGTGAGAAAAATATGAAATAGTGACACTACATGTTTTGGGCAAATTTGTTACAAGGAAATCAATTGAAGAGGCAATTGTCCTAGGAAAAGAAATCACACAAGTCTAAACCTAGTGATTTAATTTGTTATTGTATAATTATGGCCAAAGTGGGAAACAGACATATGTGAGGTATTTTCACATGCCAAAATAAATTAACACTGGATACTTTGCACTTTGGCTTGGTGGCTGATAGTTATATTTGATTGCCTTGTTTTAGTCAGTAAATATCTTGGGCTGGTCCCACAAAGTAGCCATTAAGAATTTTTTTGAATATAACCATTTACCAGGGCTTACATGCATAGTGCAAGCCAAGAAGTAATTTTAACCTATATATGCTTTTATGTTCTAGATATGAATGCATTGCAGAGCCAGTATCCAAGATTACAAGATTTTGATTCAACTCATGGCAACTTTCAGTTACTTCACCCTTCAGATGTTCTGCTTCATAATTTACCTTGTGACATGGAACAAGATTCAGAAAATGGTGGCATGGAAGAAAAGATTGTTTATCTCTAATTCCCTGTTTGTAATATTAATACAGTAGCACTTTGGGGTAGCTTTTCTAATTGTAGTTATTCTGTATACAAATTGCTTTGCCAGTATATTATTTATTTCAAAATACAAATTTTCCCTATCCATAGGATACAAATTAAGTTATTTTTTAAAATATACCTGTAATATTTAAATTGTGACATTTGAACATTGATAGGCTCTAAAACTACACCTGGTGTATATATGTATATATACGTATGTATTTGTATGTCTGAAGTAAGATGATCAACATTGGACTAGGTTAAATGGAAAGATTTTTGCTTTAGATTATGTACACTATAATTTGAGCAGCTAAAATTTAAGAATGCAACTTCAATTACAAAAAAAAAGCACCAAGTGATAACACATGATGTAATGAAAAAACAGAAACAAGAACCTCGGTCTTTGGCTGTTGTACTTTCTGAATGTACCATAGTGAATTTGTTACAAACTTTTATAAGCATCGGTCCAATCATTACCTCAGGCTGCTTCCCTTCAGATACATTGAATTTCAGTTCATGTAACCAACAAGCATCAACTTGAAGAAGGCCGTGTTCTCAGTTACTTTCCAAGTTACACGACCACATTCCGTCTTTCATATTAGTTTCATAACATGTACACAGCAGACATGATCGTGACCTGAAATAATGATGAAAAGCTCTTGAAATAAAACCTCTTCTGAATCACTATAGCTTTTTCAGTTGAACACTAGGACCTCTGCCACATTATAGTTATTTTTATCTTGTTGCAGTTGTGAACCTTTTGATCTGTAGTCTAATGTGGTCCTAATATATCTTAACAGCAAAGAGTTTTAGTAAATAATTAATGGCCATATATTTGTCACTTCAAGCTACATTTGTTTACTGTATCATTCCTTAGTAGATATTTTTGTCATTTTCATCAACCATGTACAACATCTTTTGCTTTACAGGGATCAGTTTTATGTATTGCCTTAGAATTTGTCCTTAACTATTCAGAGTGGCCTTTCATATCAAAAGCAGCAAAACTCATGGCATTTCTCTTTCACATAGGATAGAAGGCTAGGAAGTGGAATAAGAGCAAATGCAGGATTTTTCCTATTTAAACAATAAACCAGGTTACACCGATTTCTTTTGTACATGCATGGGCTGTGAATCGGTATATATCTCTCAGAATGCAGAGCTTTGATGCACTACAATAAATAAGGATCTTTTCTGTACATTTTGCAAATGAATTGTATACTTTTTGAAAGGAATTACTATTTTCAATCTCCAAATGTGTGTTTCTGTGTATGTATATGCACATATACAGCTGACTATGTATGTAATTTTCAATATGAAATTGAAGCTGAGCTGAATATAATTCCTAGTGATCACATGGACACATCAATGTACTTTTATTGATGATAATCACAAAGTAGTATCCTAAAACTGTATTTTGGAACTTCCTTCCTTCCTTCCTTCCTTCCTTCCTTCCTTCCTTCCTTCCTACCTACCTACCTACCTACTTACCTACCTACAGTTGCAAGTGGGACTGCTTGCTTATGAGTTCATTCAAAGATCAGGTCTGATTGCATTTAGCTTTTTCAAAAATAGCCAATATTCTGTCATAAATCAATTAACTGCAGATAGTTTCATTTACAGTTGCTACAGTGGTGAGATTCTTAGTGTTTCAATGAGTTCTAATTCTTGTAAGCAAAGAGGGTCTGTGTAGGTTGCCTTAGGATTCAGTCAGTAGTTTTAATAAGTGCTTGCCATCTCCTCACTCCTCCCATTCAATACTTCCTTCAGAGAACTCCCTGTAGCTATGAATGCAATTGCCCTGTCACCTCTATATGTGTTTACTGATCACTTAACTTAAACTTAATTTAAATAGCAAACCTGTAGCAGTACTGTATGTTGCAAACTCCTAAAAACTATGCTTCTTTTTCACTTGGTGAAAATTATATGTTTCATGTCCCCCTCCCCTTCCTTTGTTTCAGCTATGGATGAAATGTTAATCCTGTATCTGCAGGAGTTGTTTTTCCTCACTGGATAAATGGCCTCCCAGGTGTCCCCTCTTGTAGATCCATTTGACACAGTCTAGGTCTAGAAATATACCCTTGTATGCTGCTTGGTTAGCTTGCTGAATTTTCATAATTTACTGAAATGGGACATTTCACAGTGCATGCTAGAATAGCACCATAGTGAATTGAAGGCTTCTTGTGAAAGAAGAGGGAGGGGCTGTTTGTTGATTCATGGAGAACTAAAAGGAGGGGGAAAGTAAACTTATTGACTAATGGGTTTACGGTAGATAAAATTTGCAGATAGGCTTAATTCTCAGAGCTAGCTATTGGTTTTCTAAAGTTGGGCAATGATTAGCTGAATTTGCTCTCTGTAAGTTCCAGGGCGATGCTAAATCGGTCAAGTTCAACAGAGGGGAGGGAGATAAAATGTGGAATTTTATTGCAAATTGGATAAAAATATTAAAATGGAGAATGGTCAGACAGCATTTCACATCTATGTCCAGGCAAAAATGAAATATAATAGAAACAGCAGTGGCTGTTAACAGGTAAAGGTAGAATGTGCACAACCAACCCATAATATATTGGAGTCCATTTACTACTAGTACTCACTGCGTGTATACTACACAGTATATGTGTGCCACATACTTTCTTGGAAAGAACAATTGCCTACTAACCTATTTCCTGCACTGCACTGTGCCTGTGGAAGAGAAATTATGTCATATCTTTATTTACAATACTTTCAGTGATCTTCAGACCTTTAACATTAAGTATTGTCTATTTTGTTTACCCATATTCACAATAAAAGTAAATTTTATCAGTTTATAGCTTGCCTCTGTACTTATAGGGAAAGAAAAATTTAAAACATAAACCAACGTACTGAATCTAGGTGGTCTTTTAAGCAGTCTGTATTCTATAAGTATCCATCATTTAGACATTTGTAATGTTTATTTGAATTAAACATGAGCTTTTAGAAACATTAAGAATTCATTAGCTCAGTATTAGAGACTTAATTCCTTTCAACACCCAAGAAATATTATAGAAGAACATTTCAATGTCATTTCAGGAATATCTGGGTTATATGTAAAAAAAAAAAAAAGATTGCAACTTTGCTTGATTGCAGCCATTATCTTGACAGTTTTTTTATCACTACTTTCCCCCTGGACACCCCAGCACAGTCTACATAGATGAAGGTTGACTTGCTAAGTGGATCTGGCACAGGGTTCATGAAGCAAACCAGTTTCGCTATATAGTAGGTAGGGACAGTGGGAATCTCGTTCATCCATTCATGTGTGTCACTAATTAGATGACGAGGCATTTGGCTAGGGTATCATAAATTATCAGAGAGGCAGATCTCTCTGAGAGTGAAAATTCACTAGAGATGGTGGAGTTGCCGCTTGTGGCAGTGTCATGAATCACATGTCACCCAAGGTCCATACTCAACCTTTCCCAGTTCCATGCATAAATGCATTGTAGCATTTGAGCGAGCCAATGATGGTAAGGAGACCAATGTCCCTGCAGTCTCTATGGCTCAAGCCCAAAGTCCGTAGCCCAGCGCCAGATGGTTCATACAGCAGTCCTCGGTTGGAAACAATAACAGGGAGGTGGTGGACTAAGACAGATGAGGTAATGGTGGCCCATCGCTGAATATCAGCGACACGATCAGGCTGTCTGTAGTTGGAGACCTTGATGTCCCAGGTCTCCCGCATTCGATAACCAGACACAATGGAGACACCCACGACCCAGAGCCGGTTCATCGCCTCCACCAGTAAGTCCGGTTTAATGAAGGATGTGCCAGATAGTACGATGGGCTCGACACTTGGACGGAAGCCTCGCTGGTGCAGAAACTGATCCAATCGCTGCAGAACATGGTTGTGCTGCATGCACCGGGCATCACGCGTCACCTCACAAGCTTACAGGATGTGGTTGATCCTCTCTGGGGCCTGGCAGGCTCCCCTACGCACCTTATCGGTGGTCTGACGATCGCCCTCCCGTGCACTCCTTGATCTCGTAGGGGGGCCTGCTGCCCCTAAATTGTATTGCCCTTAAATACAGGGGAACACTCGAGAGGGGCATAATAGCCAATCGTGGGTGGCTGAGTCGATCCTGGGGACCCTAGCTCCCAACCGTCAAAAGAAGTCAGGAGCACAGTCTTCCACTCCTCCCGTGCCCCAGCCTTGGTTGTCACAGCAGTAGCATTAACTCTGCATGGCTGGTTGGTGCCGCAGAAGACCAAATGCATCCTGGCACTGGACGATCTGAAACAGCGTGGTGGGATGGGATGCAATCTTCTCAAGTCGCAACGCCTGGAGCAATGGGATAGAAGTAGAGAAACAAGGCACCCCAGGCCTCCATCCTTGATGTGAGCGTGGAAGTAGCCCATGGGGGTATCTTTGGGCAATCGCAGCCAGCGCCACACCGCTGCATGGATCAGGCAGTCCAATTTCCGCAGTGTATTTCCATGCGCATGACCTAGTACGAGCTCATGGGTGAACTTGGGCATCAAGAATGTTTGTAGCAGCAGCATCCACTGTTGCGGCTTTAGTGGCACCCATGAGAGCTCCTGGAGCAGAGAGTCCAATTTGCCAGTGTACTTGGGGATCACACAGCCCTTCCAATTAAACTGGAGGCTGAGATTACGAACCGAATCCCCTGGCCCAAGAGGGTTGATGCAGCCATCTGCACATTCATAGATGGTTGGTAACAGGGCCATGCACTTTCTCTTCCCATTCTTGGCGATGGTAAGACCCAGGGACTTCTTGGCATCCAGCACCATTCTGGCTCGTGTAAGGGCTTCCAATAAAAGATGTAATTTTTCTTGAAGCTGCGGGGATTTCTCTGCAAACAGAACCAGGTCATCAGCATAAGCGATACTGCTGATCCAGTGGCTGTTGAGGTCATACCCAACGCTGGGTAGAGGAGCTGTAATGATCTGGATGACCATGATGAACAGGAGCGGAGACAGAGGATCGCCTTGCCGGATGCCCCGACCACAGGTGGTAACAGTTCCTCCAAGTTGTACCATGGCCCGCTCGTAGAGATGTCGAAGATAAGACACCAAAGGAAGTGGTAAACCAGCAGCTTCGGCGACACGAAACAGCGTATGGTGGGATACAGTGTCAAATGCCTTGGCGATGTCTAGGAACAGCATCGCACAAGGCTCATGCTTTGTATGGACCATCCGTAGAATGGTATGAAGAAGGGTCGTCGCCTCCAGGCAGCCGTCCTGCTGGAGAAACCCATGCTGGAAGGGTGAAAATTGTAGGGTATCGTGGAGACGCCATGCCACGATCTTATGGAAGGCACGGAGGATGGTAGAGGCAATCGAAATAGGGCGGTAATCTCCCAGAGCTGATGGATCATCTGTCTTGAGCAAGAAGGTCACCCGTGAACAAACTAAGTGTTCTGACGGGCCCCCGGCAGCTAGCAGCAAGTTGTACTAAGCTGCTAGAGATGGTTGGTGCCAGATCAAGAGATTGATGGCAGGAATGCGATCCAAGCCTGGAGTGCTAGATGTCATACTCTTGAGCATTGCAGTGACCTCAAATGGAGTAACTCTATACAGGAGTGACCAATATACAGACATTGGCATGGCTGCAGCCCTATTATCAATTGTACTCGGAGTCCTAAATACTGTCGACCAGTAAGTCTCCATCTCCGATGGTAGTGGTAGAGATCCATGATGCTTGTTCTTCCATTGCCCAGAGAAAACGGAGGACGCTGCCTCTCGTTTTCAGAGCTTGTAGAGCCGTTGAATGCTGGCATAATTGGCTCTACAGATGGAACGTTTGCTCCAGTGATGGGTTGTATCTGTTGAATGGGGCTTCAATGGTCTCCATGTATGGGAAAACCAGCGTTGGGCATAATCTTGGAGAAGGGCCCGGCCCCGTGACTGGCTAATCACTCCGGATTGTATGAGGGCTATCCACAATATAGATTATGTTTTCGTCTGTAGCAAGAAGGGGCAGAGCTAGCATGGCCATCTTTGGTCTGTGCATCCACCGCTCAGTCTGCATCTAGTCGTGCTAGTGGGAGGTTCGTATCGTTGCCTGTTATTTCACAGCAAATCTTTGAAATGTGTGCTTCAATTGAAAATCCCCCGAGTTGTGAGGTGCGATCAGTGATAAGGTTTCTGTTGGCAAAAAACCATAAACCGATTGAAATTTTTCGGCAACTGTGTGAAGTGTATGGGGACAACATCATCACTGAAGGTGGAGTGCGCCAATGGTGTATTAAGTTTAAAAATGGCCGAACTACGGCACTCGAGAAGTCCTGAATGCTTTCACTTGGTTCAAGATCGGGGCTGTAGGGCGGATGAGGAAAAATCTCCCACTTGAAAGCATTCAGGACTTCTCGAATGCTGTAGTTCGGCCATTTTTAAACTTAATGGACCATTGGTGCACTCCACCTTCAGTGATGGTATCTTATGTGATGAGCGAGACCAGCTGGTATCTTTAAGTGGTACAAATTAATCTAAGGATTACTTCTCCTGGGTGTGCTCTTTCTAGAAAGCTTAAATGACCTATCTGCTAAAGGGTTTCACTTTATGAGCAAGAGTTGGTTGCTGATAGTTATCATTGCATTTTAACTATTTAATTCCTTAAGGTGCTTTGGCACCCTGCCTGATTTGTAACTCTGGCTTGCAGGTGTTTTTAATCTAATGATTGGTATTTAGGGCAGCTTTTTGCAAGCAAAGAAGCTTTTTGTATTTTTGTACAGGTAATCCTTGACTTACAACAGTTCCTTTAGTGACCATTCAAAGTTACAACGGCACTGAAAAAAGTGATTTATGACCATTTTCACACTTACGACCATTGCAGCATTCCCACTTTCATGAGAGATCAGGCAAGGAGAAGCGCCCCTTGACATGAGTGATGTCAAATTGGCCATGCCCACCCAGTCACATGACCACCAAGCCACACCCACCAACTAAGCCATGCCCACAGAACCAGTTGTTAAAAAATTTGAATCCCACCTCTGCATCTAAGTGCTATAATCTGGCTGGAAACCAAACTGAAAGGGATCTAGATAATACTGCTTCACTTCTTTCTTCCAAAACTAACAGGTCAGCAAAAACTGACACAGTCAAGGTAGGAGAATAAAAGACTTCAGTTTGTAACAGAATAGTGCTGTACCAAGGTTGACATATTAGTTCTTTCTAGGTCTCATGACCCATGCTTTCTTATCTTGAACAGAAATCCAGTGATATTCAACCCTTGCTTTGGACTCTGCTTTTGGATTTTGGGACTATTGCCAGATTCCATTTTAGCCAGCTACAAGTCTACAAAACTTGCTGATCTGCAGCAGAGCAAATGCTAGTGCTAGTGCTAATAAGTGCTAGTGCCAATCAGCCAATGTTTTGGCAGCATTTTTAGAAGCTGCATAACTAACCAGCATCAGCAATTTAGTCTTGAGACTGTCTCACTTTTATGCATATATTACAACATATTTATGAATGTGTTACCATATGAATTCCTGAAATGTATTCCATTTTCGGCAACAGTCCTCATTCCATTACAGAGGCAAGAACTATTGCTTGGCCATTAGAGAGTATGAGCCAGCAGTATGCTCCAGCTGCCAAAAGGGCCAATGCAGCCCTAGGCTTCAGTAACAAAAAAAAAATAGCATCAAGATCATGAGTAGTGATAGCACTGCCTATGTGGCACCACTGAGATCCTACTTGGAATACTGCATTCAGTTCTGGTAGCCACAATACGAAAATTATGCTGAGACCACAAAAAGTATGCAGAGAACAACAAAGATGATAAGGGATCTGGAGGCTAAATTGTATGA